AGTATCTATTTTCATTTTGTTTCTCTATGCCTATGTTTCTCTCATTCTCTATTTTAATTTCTTATTACAGCAGTCCCTTTAGAATTTCTTGTAATGCTGGTTTGGTGGTGATAAACTCCTTTAGCCTTTTTTTTTGGTCTGGGAAGCTCTTTATTTCCCCATCTGTTTTGAATGAAAGTCTGGTTGGATAGAGGAGTCTTGGTTTCAGATCTTTGTTTTGCATTACCTTGAATACTTCATGCCATTCCCTTCTGTCTTGTAGAGTTTCTGATGAGAAATCACCTGAGAGCCTTATGGGAGCTCTTCTGTAAATAACAGATTGCTTTTCTCTTGCTACCTTTAAGATTCTCTCTTTGTCTTGAATTTTTGGCATTTTAATTATGATGTGTCTGGGTATGGGCCACTTTGGGTTCTTCTTGCTTGAGACTCTCTGTGCCTCCTGAACTTCTGTGACTTTTTCCTTGACCAGGTTAGGGAAGTTTTCTGCCATTATTTGTTCAAATAGGTTCTGTAATTCTTGCTTACTTCATACACTTTCTGGTACTTCTGTGATGCGAATATTGTTATGTTTCATGTTGTCCCACAGTTCCCTTAAAGTGTTCTTCTGTTTTTTAATTTTTTTATCTTTTTGTTCCCTGATTGTGTGATTTTTTTTCTACCCTGTCTTCTAATTCGCTGACTGGAACCTCAGCTTTACCTAATCTGCTGTTTATTCCTTTCAATTTTATTTTATTTTATTTTATTTCTACCATGTCATTTTTAATTTCCTTCATAGTTTCCATTTCTTTTCTCATGTTTTTGAGCATCCTTATGATCAATATTCTGAACTCTATATCTGATAGCTTATCTCCATTGCATTTAGCTCTTCTTCTGGAGAATTCTTTTGTTCTTTCATTTTCAACTTGTTTTTTGTCTCCCCATTTTGGCTGCCAGTTTGGATTTGTTTCTGTGTATTAGGTAGATTTGCTATGACTCCCAGTCTTTTGGATGGTGTCTGGTGCAGGCCAGTGTCAGAGACTGTTTGTGACTGGCCTTGAGTACCCTGTTTGAAGCTTTCCATACTCCGTAGCTTGTGGTTCCCTTTGCTGTGGCCTGGTTTGTTTGGACAGGACTAGATCACACCAGGGTCTGCTTTCCCATTTGCTGGGTTCAGAAGCAAATCAAGCAAAGACTCAAAGCATCCAGAGGCTGTTATTCAGTGTATTAATGAACCTCAGTCTGTAGAAACTCCACGGAGTGGGGCGAGATATTTTCCAGCAGGGTAGGGCTGTTGCTTTCCCCTAGGCAATAGCTGCTTATAAGGTAAACATCTGCCTGAGAAAGTTGTCCTCTGCAGTATGGGTGAATGACTCAGCATAGGAATCCAGATGTCTGCCCTCTGAGCTTTATTCCCCGAGCCAGGATCCCTGGATTCTCCTCACACAGTTATAGGGCACTCTGCTCTCCCTCTGCTGAAACCCAAGGTGAGTGGCTGGCTGCACGCAAAACTTTGTGGGTTGGCCTTTTAAAAGGATGCTTGTGTTTCCAGCCACTGTCCCTGGAAGACAGAGAATCTGCTTCTTTTCGCAGCCAGATGTTATTTGGGCACCTTTCTCAGTTATGATGCTCAGGGCTGAGAAGCCCAGCTTGTGGTTTAGACCCCAGAATTCTCAGTGGGAATTCTCCACAGGTGAGATATCCCTCTGGATCTTTAGCTTCTCTGGGAGCTCAGCCAGCCCTCTCGTGCCTGCGCACTTCCTACCACTTCTATGTGGTCTCCACTTTTCCCCCTTGGTTATGAGGGTGCTCTCCAGCTAATCTTCAGTTGCAATTGATCATTTAGGATAGTTTTTCTATGTTTTAGTTGTAAATCTAGTTTGGTCCTAGGAGAGTGTCATTGTAGCTTCTACCTAATTTACCACCGTCTTTAAAAGTCCACTTGATTGATATATTATTTTCTTGATGTACTGTTGTTGTGTTAAGTTTGCTGGTATTTTGTTTAGGATTTTTGCATATGTATTCATCAGAGATGTTGGTCCATAGTTTGTCTGTGTTTTATTTTTGGTGTTACCTTGCCAGAGTGTGGTATCAGGGTTATACTGACCTCATAAAAGTGTGTTGGGATGTATTGCTTCTTCTTTAATGTTTTGGAAGAGTTTAAGAAGGATAGGTTTTAAATCTCCTTGAGGGTTTGGTAGAATTCACTGGTGAAGCCATCTCGTCTTGGACTTTTTTGGGGGGGAGGTTTTTAATGATTGTTTCAATTTCTTCACTGTTGATCGGTCTATTTAGATTTTCTAATTCTTCATGATTTAGTCTAGGAAGGCAGTATATTGCTAGGAACTTATCTATTTCTTCTAGGTTATTGAATTTGGTTTCATATAGCCTTTCATAATATTCTAGTATGATCCTTTGTATATCTGTGATATTTATGGTGATTTCTCCTCTCTCATTTCTAATTTTGTTTATATGGGTCTTTTCCCTTTTTTCCTTAGTGAGTCTAACCAGGGGTTTGTCAATTTTATTAATCTTTTCAAAGAACCAGCTCTTTGCTTTATTAATTTTTATAGTCTTCTTGTTCTTTATTTCATTCAATTCTTCTCTAATTTTTATGATTTCTTTTCTTCTGCTGACTTTGGGTTGATTTTGTTCTTTTTCTAGTTCTTTAAGATGTGATGTTAGGTTTTTTACTTGGGATTTCTCTTGTTTCTTGAGATAGACCTGTAAGGATATAAACTTTCCTCTTACTACTGCTTTTGCTGCATCCCAGAAATTTTGATATGTTTTATTGTCTTCTCACTTATTTCTATATATCTTTTGATCTCATCTTTTATTTCTTCTTTGGCCTAGTCATTTTTTAGTGGTATGCTGTTTAATCTTCATGTATTTGTGGTTTCATTACTTCCTTTTTGCAGTTGACTTCTCATTTCAAGGCATCGTGGTCAGAGAATATGATTCATATAATTTCAGTTTTCTTGAAGAACTTGTTGATGCTAGTTTTGTGACCCAACATATAGTCTATCCTTGAGAATGTTCTGTGTGCACTGTAGAAGAATGTATAATCTGATGTTCTGGGATGAAAGGCTCTGTAAATGTCAATTATGTCCATTTGCTCCACTATTTCATTTAAGGCCGATATTTTTTTAATTGATTTTCTGTTTGGTTGATCTGGCTAGGGCTGTCAGTGGACTATTAAGGTCCTCAGCTATGATTGTGTTTTGATCTGTTTTTCCCTTTAGTTTTGAGAGTAGTTACTTTATGTATTTTGATGCTTCCTGGTTGGGTGCATATATATTAAGAAGTGTTATGTTTCCTTGATATAGTGTCCCCTTTATCATTACAAAGTGTCCATGTTTGTCTCTTGTTATCTTTGTTGTCTTGAAATCTATTTTGTCAGATATAAGTGTGGCTGCACGTGCTTTTCTGTGGATGTTATTTGCTTGTATAATCATTTTCCACCCTTTTACTTTGAATCTACCTTTGTCTTTTCAGCTTAGATGTATCTGTTGTAGGCAGCATATTGTTGGGTTTTGTTATATGATCCACTCTGCTACCCTGTTCCTCATGATTGGTGAATTTAGACCATTTACATTTAGGGTAATTATTGATGTATTAGGATTTCCAAAAGGGATCGCCAGATTTTGAAATCATGGCAGCTAGTTAAAAACTTTGTATTGGGTGTGAGTCAAATAAAATGTGTCATTTGCCAGTTTTACCAGTTTGTGACCTTTGATGTTTTAACAGATTTCCTGTCATGTGCTATTGGCACTGATCCTAGATTAATTACCTCATTAAAATGAGATTGGAATTTAAGCTTTAACATATATTCATAAATTATTTTTGGGAGGCTCCTGATAAATACTTTAACTGTAATTATAGAGTTGATTAGTTGTTTATATCAATATTTAATCAGAACTTGCATTATTAAATTTTTAAGTGATACTATTTTGTGCAGTTAATTGTTGATTCAGCTTCTGAGTTCTATCTAACTTGTTTGCCAGTTGCTTACTATGCAAAGAACTCCTTTTTTCTGTAACTTTATAGTGTTGTCTTTGAATCAAATGCAAAGACATTTCAGAATCACTTGAAGTTTATATCCAGAATAAAATACTCTATGTTTGATGTTTTTAAAAATTTTACCTTGAAGCAAGACGTAGACAAATAAAATTTTATTCTAAAATAGTATTTCAAATTAGCTGAATTAGCTACTCAATAACTTATTTTGCCTTTTCTGATTTGTTGTTGCTGCAGAATTTTTTGATGGTGTATTTATTGTAGGCTCAGATGCCATTGTATTATGCCATTTTATCACTTATTATTATTTTTTTTTTGGTTAATCCTCATCTGAGGGTATTGTTTCCATTGTTTTTTTTTGTTTGTTTGTTTTTTCCCCCAAAAGAGAATGGAAGGGAGGGGGAGAGCCAGAGAGAGAGAAATGTTGATGTCAGAGAGACACATCGATTGGTTGCCTCCCTCCTGCATGCTGACCAGGGCCAAGGATCTGGCCTGTAATTGAGATATATACGGGCCCTTGGCCCCTTCAGTCCATAGGCCTACTTGCTAATCACTGAGCCAAATCGGCTAGGGGAACACTTATCATTATTCTGATTTAAATGATATTTAACAAACAGCTTTTGCACACTCAACATTTTCTTTGCATATTTAATGCCAATAAACACAAATTGAATTGCTTGCCAAAAACTGAGGGCAATTTTTCCCCCCTCAAATTTGCCATTTATTAAATCTAAAGACTACCCATAGGATATTTCCTTCTGGATTTTGACTTTCAGGGATGAATTTTAGTGAAAGGATATGGAAAGATTTAGTGATTAACATGAACAGGTAAAGAGTTTGGATGGTTCTAATGGACTCTTATGGCCTCCTCTACATTGCTGATGCCGCTGAATTGAACTGATTTTGTTCAGGCACCTGTGAATATATATGATGAGTGAGACTATTGATATGAAATGTCTCATGATGTTTCAAAGTTAAAGATTAATAGTTCATACTATTATTTTCAGGAGCTGGTGATGATACACGAACTTGGGGGCCACCTTTTGTGGGGACAGAAAGTACTTATTTTCTCAGTGTAAATCGAAATAAAAAAGTAAGAATATATTTTTTTCTGCTTTCTTTGTGTAATTCTATTGTAAAAACAAAACTTTTTATATCCCGCCTGTTTGTTTCCATCCTGTTTTTGTAGATGTAATTAACATTTCAAATAAGGTGAAATTTTATTCATTCAACAGTTACCAAATAAAACAATATAACTTTACTAATTTTTCTTCTCTACTAATTTAAAACATTTCATGAGAATTTATAATGGTTTATAATGGAAATAATTTTATTAAATGGTTCTTTACATTTGTTATTATTTTGGAGATTGATAAGTGCCTAACATTTGGTATTTGAAGCATGTTTACTGTAATCCTTGGTACATTCTAACATATCTAAATTGCAAATAAAATCAGTAAAGATGAATTTAAATATTTCTTCAGAAGGAAAATACATTTGCTTTAAGAGGAGAATCTATGATATGACTGGCTACCTTGCTGAACTGTCAGTATTAACAAAAAAACTTTATGATGCCATTTTAATATACATATATTTTAATTTTTAGAGTATAGCTGTTAATATCAAGGATCCAAAAGGTGTGAAAATCATCAAAGAGGTACAGTATGCTTAATGAAGGACATCATACCACCTGGGTTGTAATTAGAGATTTAACAACAGAGTAAACGTGTTTTAAAACTTTATTTCATTGACAATTTGTAATTTTTCTATAAATGCCATTTAAGAATTTAACTTTCCTTTTATAGTAAGTATAATTTGCTTTATAATTTCTTGTATATTGTGTATAATGTTTCTTCACACTGAGGGTGTTCACTTGCAGTACTAGCTGTTACTGACTGAGTGCCTACTCTGTCTCAGATCTTAGACTTGGACACTTTACTTACTTTATCTCCTCAAATCCTCAGAATAAATGAGGCATTAGAATCTTCGTTTTCATGGGAGGGAAGTGAGTCTTTTGGGGCTCAAGTGGTGCTCTAAAGATCACAAAGCTAGTAAAAGGAAGAGCTGAAATTTGAACCCTGGGTCATATTACTGGAGAGCCCAAGCTTGTTTTGTTGTTGTTAATCCTCACAAGAGGATATTCTGTCCATTGATTTTGAGAGAGAGTGGAAGGGAGGAAGAGAGAGGGAGAGAGAGAGAGAAAGAGAAAGAGGAAGGGAGGGAGAAACATGGATGTGAAAGAGATACATCAACTGGTTGCCTCCCCCATGCACCCCATCTGGGGCAGGGATTGAACCTGCAACCCTTCAGTGCACAGGCCAATGCTCTAACCACTGAGCTGCACCAGCCAGGGCTCAAGCTTTTTTTTAAACACTTATTTAGATGGCCAGTGTTTCCAGACATGATCTTGGTATCTTCCCTCGAGGGGCAGGATTGCAGAATGGTTTGGGGCATATCCTAGGGTTCCACTGCTGGGATTCAGATTCCTTCTCTACTTACCAGCTATGTGACTTCAGGCAAGTTACTTAAAGAATGCCTCAGGTTCCTTATCCGTAAAGTGGGGATAATAATAGTCCTTACTTCTTAGGGTTGTTAGAATTATTTTTGTTCCTGATGCACATGAAATTGAATTCTTCATGTGAAAATAGAACTTGTTTGCCATCTTTGTTAAAGTTTAAAGTCTAATCTAATGGAAGTAAGCCTACTTGATTAGAGAACCAAATCCCCAAATTTGTTTTATACCAAAGAATCAACTTTAATATCATTGTTCTGTTGCTACTTTCCTTTTCTATTAGGCTAATTGAAAGATAATTTTTTTTTTTTAATATATCTTTATTGATTTCAGAGAGAGGGAAGGAAAGGGAGAGAGAGAGATAGAAACATCAATGATGAGAAAGTCATTGATCGAGCCTGCAACCCGGGCATGTGCCCTGACCAGGAATCGAACCCTGATCGCTTGGATCCTAGGTCGATGCTCAACTACTGAGCCATGCCCGGCTGGGCAAGATAATTTTTAAAAATTTATTAAGATGAGAATTAGTGACCATCCTCTTTGGTTCTGTTGGATCAATCCAGTAAATTTAGAATTTTTGTTTACTAGATACATTTTGAACCCAAAGCTTGATAATTTCCCTGATCTTACTGCCCTTTTTTTCTACATCTTTTCTATAGTATAATTTAGGGTTTTTTTTTTTTCAGGTGAAACTTTGTTTGATTTTTCTAAATTGTTCTTTATTATTATAGCTCTGACCTGTTTCTCTACAGTGGCTACTCTAACCTTGACCCAACTCCCATTGTCTTCATGCTTAGGCCCTTCTTTTAATCTTCTCAGTAATTATTGTTATTTATCTAAGAGATTGTTCTTTCCTTATTTCTTTCTGTTCTGTGTTTTTTAGTTTCATTTTTAGTGTTCACCATTCCTACTTCTTTGCTTTTATTTCAGGATATTCTCATATTTTATCCTGAATAGTCAAGGTTTCAGATTTGATTGAACAAAATACTGTACCATTTAATAGGGCTTTTCAATGGGACAGTGTTAGGTGGAATTCATAACTCTTACTACTAAAACACTTGAATATTTTAGGCCTACGTGTATAATTCTGACCAAAATAAATGAATTACTGGGACTTCCTTTTCACTCTCCTTGGATATTGCCAGTGTCCTCCACCACACTATAACAATTTTAAATTAAGTTTTATTATGGGCTTGATTTCTCTGATTGATAACAATAAAGTACATTTCAGCTCATATTAAACTTAGGTTGTCTGGAGACATTTTTCATGTCTATGGATTTTAGCTAGTTATATCATCCATAAGTTATGTATCTTACTGCCTAGAGGAAAAATTATTTTTGCCTAGTTTGTTATTCTTTATGGCATGGATTTCTTTTTTAGCCTTAAGAATAGTAAAATAACATCTGTATTCAGACCTTGGTGGCTATGATTGCTAATATAATGAATCTAGTTTATAGAAACGATTCCAAAGTATTATACCAAGCAATCAGTTGGATACTTGAGAGCTCCAAAAAATATTATTCCTTTGTCAAATAGGTTAACCAAAAACAGATTGTGTGAAAAACAAAACTCTGCTTAGAAAATCATCTGTGTGAAGATTTTCTGGTATTTTTTTAAATTTATTTTAAATCTGGTATTTTTAAAAAAATTTTATATAAATATATCTTTATCGATTTCAGAGAGAGGAAAGGAGAGGGAGAGAGAGAGATAGAAACAGCAATGATGAGAGAGTCATTGATCGGCTACCTCCTCCACTGGGGATCGAGCCCGCAGCCTGGGCATGTGCCCTGACCGGGAACCGAACCCCGATCGCCTTGGAGCCTGGTATTTCCATGGCAATATGATTTGATAACTTTCTAACACATTATCTATACTTTTACATGTTAATTAGTTGACAGTCATAATATCCATACTGTGTCCACAGAGCAATGTAATAGGTTTTATTGATTGGTTGCCTCCCACACTGGAGCCTGGGATCGAGCCTGCAACTGAGGTACGTGCCCTTGACTGGAATTGAACCCGAGACCCTTCAATCTTTGGGCTGATGATACTCTAACCAATGAGCAGAGCTGGCCAGGGCAAACCTTTCTATCTTAATATATTATTATTCCTCTCCTGTAGGTGCTTACCTAGGCTTTTGGTACCTCTGTTTCAGGAGCTCTGGAGGACGACATCTTATTTCCTGGAGATGTGTCCTAAGATCTCCCCTCCCCCAAATTTGGTTAAGTCAGGCAATTCTGTATACACAGTTCAAATTTGGTGACACAGCAATAAACAAACACTCAATTTATGTATGTGTTTTTATCTAAAGTTTATGTTAGTTCAGCCTTTTCCATCTGGAGCAGAGGTTGACAAACTATGTGGGCCAAATCAGGTTTGTTTTGGTATCGCTCATGGACTAAGAATGGATTTTACATTTTTAAAGATTGTTAAAGAAAAATAAAGAATAATGTATGTAGCCTTCAATGGCTAAAATATTTACTATTTGATCTTTTATGGAAAAAGTTGCCTCACCCCTGATCTAGAGTCTGATTCTATCACATTAGTTGTATGTGTGTGAATGTATCTAAATCTATGTCACCATGTCAATTAAAAATTTTATTGAATAGTTTATTAGGTACTTGGATGTTTTCAAGAATCACTGTAATGAATTTCTCTGGGTAACCTAGAATAATTTCTATGATTACTTTAAAAATGATTTGAAATTGAAATTTTGAAAAAAATTTTATGATTAAGGTTTTCAGTGTTTCATTATCCTCTAATTCCTATAGCAGTGATATAGGAATTAAAACCTATGTTTTATTTTAGACAGTTATTGATTCACTGGGTTTAATAGTTTTTTAAAAAAATGGTTCATTAAATACATTTAACACACTTTGGAAAGAAAGCATCTGAAAAGTATGAGAGCATTTCAGAATCATGTTTACATGTGTTAAGTGCCTATATGTGCATATTGTAATGAGGAATATCACATAATAAAGATGGAGAAATAGTAAAGACATTGTATTTAGCTTTTTGGTAAAGGGTTTAAGAAATGTTTTTCATATATTTTCTATCCTTATATTCTAATTTTTCTAACTAGACTTCTGAAAACATATTTGGACCATGTAGCTTAGATATTTTTTACATTTAACATAAGCAGAATCCATTTAATACCATGGTATTTACTGAAAGCTTTAATAACCATTGTTTTACTGGCAGTAATACCTCAAGTATTAGATCAACATAAAAGCTCAAGACCAGAGCCTTTCTGTTAATCTAATTCTACTTCATAATTCCACTTTTCCTGAGATTTTTTTTTTCCTGCACTATTACGAAAGTGAGGATCACTTTTGTTTACTGAAATTAGAATTCTATAATGTGAAGATTTGTTGAAAGTTTGGCAGTCCTTTAAGAAGTCTGATTCATCTTCACCTCTTCCTTCAGCTTGCAGCTGTTTGTGATGTATTTGTGGAAAATTATGTCCCTGGCAAACTGTCTGCAATGGGCCTGGGATACGAAGAGATAGACAAGATTGCTCCTCATATCGTCTATTGTTCCATCACAGGTATTTCAGTACCACGTACTCATCAGTGAATAGATTTTCCAGTTTCTATAAGAAACCTCTTACTAATGTTGGTTTTCTTGAAGTGATTCTGCTCTTCCTCCCTCCCAAGACATTTAAGGTTCCTAAAAATTAACCTTTAAAAACATTAACCTAAATGAACATTTTTCACATATTTATTGGCAGTTTAAATTTCTGTGAATTGCCTGTCCATAATTTTTGCTAATTTTTTAATTTTTTATTTTGTAGATATTTGCAAAGTACTATTAACTCACATAGAATTACGTTGAAATGTTAATTGGCTTTAAGATTAAATACAAGAACTCAACATATCTCTTCAATATATTCAAAAGTGCTAAACCAAGGAAAAGATTGCTGTAAAGTCTTTCAGGTTCTTCAGCCTTTGTAGTGAACTTCGTGTGTGTGTGTGTGTGTGTGTGTGTGTGTGTGTGTGTGTGTGTGTGTGTGAGAGAGAGAGAGAGAGAGACAGACAGACAGACAGACAGAGAGAGGGTGTATGTATTTAGGCCAAAGGGGAAAAACAGTCATCATATTTGTCAGTTGTACATATTTTATAAGCACTTAACTGTTAGGGATGCAATATAGTAAAGTGTCTTTGAAAATTGAAAGTTATATTAATGGTTTTTGTTAGAAAAATTAATATTTTTTAGTGTTTATTCATTCATCCACCAGATATTTATGGCAGGCCAATGATCTGCCAGATATTATTCTTTAAAATGTTTTTAAAAAATTACAGTTGACATTCAGTATTCTTTTATGTTAGTTTCAGATGTACAACATAGTGGTTAAATATTTATACAATTTATGAAGTGATCTCCCGATAAGTCTAGTACCCACTGGCACCATACATAGTTATTAGTATATTATTGACTATATAAATTCCCCATGCTGTACTTTACATCCCCATGACTATAGTGTAACTACCATCTGTACTTATTTATTCCTTCATCTTTTTCACTCAGCCCCTCAACCCCCCTCCCATATGGCAACCATCAGTTTGTTCTCTGTATCTATGAGTCTGTTTCTGTTTTGTTAGTTCATTTATTTTGTTCTTTAGATTCAACATATAAGTGAAATCATATAGTAGTTGTCTCTTTCTGTCTAATTTATTTCACTGAGCATAATACTCTCCATCCATGCTATTTCACATGGTAAGATTTCTTTTTTTTTTTTTTTTAACATATCGTTATTGATTTCAGAGAGAGGAAAGAGAGAGATAGAAACATGAATGATGAGAGAGTCATTGATCAGCTGCCTAGCCCGCAACACGGGCATGTGCCCTGACCGGGAATCAAACCCTGATCATCTGGATCCTAGGTTGATACTCAACCGCTGAGCCACGCCTGGCTGGGCAAGATTTCATTATTTGATGGCTGAGTAATATTCCATTGTATATATGTACCACATCTTCTTTATCTAATTATCTATTAATGAGCACTTTGGTTGTTTTGATATCTTGGCTGTTGTAAATAATGCTGTAATGAACATAGGGTTGCATATATCTTTTTGAATTAGTGTTTTGGAATTTTTTTGATAAATACCCAGAAATGTAATTGTTGAGGCATTTGATATAAGTATTGCTAACCCAGCTTTTTGTTTTTCATTTCTATTTGCATGAAACACATTTTTCCATTCCTTTACTTTTAGTCTGTGTGTCTTTTAATCAGAAGTGGGTCTTTTTTAGACAGCGTATGTATGGATCTTGTTTTCTTATCCATTCAGTTACACAATTGATTGGAACATTTAATACATTACATTTAAAGTGATTATTGATAGGTACATAATTTTGTCATTTTATTGTGATATTTATGTTCTTGTTCCCTCTTTTTCTTTTAAAAGAAGTCCCTTTAACATTTCTTGTAATAATGGTTTGGTGGTGATGAACTACTTTAGCTTTTTCTTGTCTGGAAGCTCTTTATCTTTCCTTCAATTTTAAATGATAGTCTTGCCGGGTAGAGGACATCTTGTACCCTGAGGCCTGTCATTGCCTGCCAGCTGTCTGTAAGGCTCATCCACTAAAAGAGCACCTCGGGTGCCACTTGAGTTGAGTGAGGCAGGGTCTTAGGGAGTCACCAGGGTGGGGCCTGGTTTGCTGTACATGCTCTTATACTCCTTGGACCAGTGGCTACCAAATGCAAGTTCTCCTAGTGAAAGGTAAGTGCACAAGAGAGCAAGCCCAATCTCACAAGCAAGTTTAAAGCCTCTCCTCACATCACATCTGCTAATGTTTTTTTGGTTAGGGAAAGTCATGTGATTAAGCTCAATACCAATGAGTGATAAAATATATTCTACTCTAGTGGCAGGAACTACAAAGTCACATGGCAAGGACGTGGACTCTGAGAAGGGGAAGACTGGGAATGACAATGCATTTTATCACATCACCTAGCCAAATAAAATGCTAATCCACTTGGGAAGACTCACACTTTCCAAAGTTCCACATCTGTAACTAACTATAGTTAGAATCAAAAGTTCTGGGCCATGGTTTATGACTAGAGAATCTCTAAGTTTTCTTCCAGTTCTCAGATCCTGTATTAACTTTATAGTGCAGCAAGGGGCTGAGGATATAGCTTATATAATTCAGAAGTTTTCAGCTAAGGGTAGAATGGGGGTATCATATGCTTTTAAGTAATTGGGATGGGGGAATGAGGAGGTGATGCAGAGAGGCATGTGTAATCTGAAAAAATACCTCTCATAATTCTATAATCCCCTACATCCACATCTCCTAACAATCATTAGAAACACACCCATACATTTCTGTCTCCTTTACTTCCTGTTAAGGAAACAGATCCAAAACAGTTAAAGTACCTAAGGTCACACAGCTATTTAATAGGTTTAAAACTCAGGCTTCTTGACTTAATAGTATTAAGTGCCACTATGCTTTTCATACTTAGACATATATCATTGTTAAGTGATGACATGGATTTTGTGATTACAAGGCACTGAACAGCTCTAGTTGAGAATAAAATATTTTTGCTATTCTCTTTCATTTGTTGCTAATCATATTTGCAATGGTGGAAGTCATGAAAAAATTTTCTCATAAGGCAGTCTAAATTTCAATATTCTTTTAGAAGCAAAGGTCATTTATGAGTCGTGAGTTTTTGTGTATATAAAGCAAGGGCCATCTCTTCTTTAGAAGCTTGATATTCTTGGTAATCAGTGTGGGTTTTTATTTTTTATTTTTTAGTAAGACTGATTAGAACAGTCTAAAATTGCACGTTATGATTGGGATCCTAGACTTTCCTAATGTTTCCCAGTGGTATTGCTGTCTCGTCAGTGCTGTCCAAGCCCAAATAGTCCTTCTCACTCCCATGTTGGCCTTATTGCTTATGAGAGCAATCTTAGAATGGTTAGGAGATTTACTTTAATGTACTCTGACTGTTGTATGGTTGAGATTGCCTCGGGTTGTGAAATTTGGTCTGCAGGACAAAAATGCTATACTGATCACAAGGGAGGAAGGACCGATTATTTTTATTAGCACAGTTGTCTATCATTTCAGAGGAAGCTGCATATGAACATTAGGGGGCAGTGTTTAAAAAGCTATAATTCACTAGGAATGTCTTTTGGGGAAAACTGTAGGGTTTTCTGTGTGCCATTAGGTAGAGAGAATCNACACTCACAAAGAATATCTCGATAGGGGACTTCCTACAAAGAAAACGAAAAGGGTTTGCCTAGCCGGTAGATGCTTCCAACCAAGAGATTTGCGATAAGATTTGGCCTTTTTATTTTTTTAAATTTTTTTTTTTTTTTTTTTTTTAAAGTGACCATTCTGTACCTCTCTATACTTTTAGAATTCTATTGATGTTTTCCTTACCAATTTAATTTTAAGTTGGACCTTTTTTCCTTTGTATATTCTGAGCATATTATTAATTATAAAAATTTAGCAGTATGAATTTCCTATACCACATTTAAAAATATTTATTTCTTCCTGTTAACTTCATTATTCTTTCTTTCCAGAAGGATAAACAATACATTATATTTTTGACCAGACTAATTTTATAGTAGGAACAGTATGAACGCCCTTTAATAAAATCCCCCCCCCTTTTTTAAGGAAAAAAGTTTGAAAAGTGCCTGTTTAATTTTTGTGAATTTCCCAATGGCATTTTCTTAATCTCTGTCCTTGTATGGATAGATTGCAGGATTCCACTTGGACCTCATGAGGACTTCTTAAGGAAATGGAAGTGAGTTAATGGGTACCCCAAAGCCATTATTTCATTAATGTAGTTGGAGCCCTGCATTGGAGCCTTCTGTAGGGCTGATTGCTCAGTTGGTGGCTCTTTGTCTTATGGGGAGCTTTGTCAGATCCTTGGAGACCTCAGACTGTAGTTCCTCCCCTTCAGCTTCTGTGGTTTTTTTTTTGGTCCTCTTTAGAAAGAGCCTATCTGTTCAGGTCACCTTGTCCAATAGTCAGCCCTCAGGAGTAAAATTTCCTTTAAATGAACTAGTTCTGCTCTCCTGATGGCCCATTTGACCCATAGGGAAAACTCCTCCTTCCTCTTCTTCACTATTGGAGGAGTAGAGTTTACTCCCAGATCTGTTAGTTCTGTAGCTTTTAACTGATGTAACCATAACATTTTGCTTTTGACATAATTTTTAAAAATCTTTATCGTTGAAAGTATTACAGATATCTCCCCCCCCCATTGATCCCCTCTACCTCACATCTACCCCACCCCCAGGCCTTCCCCATACTGTTGTCTGAGTCCATGGGTTATACATTTATGCATACAAGTTCTCTGATTAACCTCTCCCTACCCATTCCCCACCCCCGCCTTTCCTCTGAGATTCTGCTTTTGACGTAATTGTAAGTACATGTCAAGTCTTTGGTAATTTCAAAATCTCAGAACACAGGCCAAGATTTCAGATACTTTTTTATGAAGTTTCCCTCATGTGGCTTGAAATAAAGGGGTGACAGTTTGCTCCTCCCTTATGACAGGGTGAAATGACAATTCTTTCTAAGGAAATTCTTACTAAAAGTCTTATTTACC